TGGGACTCCCAGAGTCCTGGGCAGAGGCCAGCTCCCTTCCTGGAGGGGTGGTGCCCAGACAGTTTAGGACATCTGTCCAGGGAGCGGGGCCTCTGCTCACCCCCTCCCCATCCGTCAACCTCCTCCCTCTGCAGACAGTGGCTGCAGCCTGATGTCTAAGCCCCTTGCTCCATCCCTGTGTGTGTTCTGGGCCCTGTGTATGAGAACACCGTGCACGTGGCCCCCAGGGAGACAGCCCGTGTGTGCCTTTGCCTGACAGCAGAAATAGGCCACCCTGGGATTCCAGCTTAAGAAGCACTGACCCTGGGAGCAAGCCCAGCTGCCCTGTGGAGGCTGACCCGGGCACACAGTGCACAGACTGTGCGCACGCTGAGGGCAGGTCTGATGTCCTGTGTCCCTGCCCAGCGTCTCTCCACGTTGGCAGAGAGCGTCCGAATGCGTGTTTGTGGGGCAAATGGACAGGGACCGTCATAGAGGGGCCTGCCCGGTCCTGGTGTGTGAGGCTCCCTGGCATCGTCCTGCTCTACTGGACACACTGAGGACCTGGGAGGAGGTGCGCTCTCCCCGGCCCGGCCCTGAGCCCCTCCCAGGGCTCCTACCCACCACCCACCAGGATGTGGAGCCTCAGAGGCAGGCCTGGCACATCCGAGACCTGGACGCTGGAGGGGAGGCCACCGGCTGGCTCCGTCACCCCCACTGGCTCGCGGCCCTCCTTGGGTCGGGCCCAGGAGCCCTGCACGCACATGTAGACACATGTGGGCCGCCGCGGGCCGGGCGTGTCCTAATCAGCCCACTCTCTTGGGAGTTCTTCTTGAAAGCAAAACAAACCAAAAAAGTCCTGGTTTTGCCCGGGTTCCTCGCTGCTGCCAAGTGGGTCTCGTCTTGGCTTCCGGGGCCTCTGGTTCTGGAGGAAACCCCCACTCAGGGCTTCCATGCGGCCGTGTTGGGCCTCTGACGTGAGACGGGCCTCTGCCCGGGGTCCACGCTTCCCTGTTTCGGCAGCTCGGTCGGTCCCAGGGGAAGCCACCCCGGCAAAGCTCCCCAGCCGGGCTAGGAAGGAAATGCAAAGAACTTTCCTGTGGGCAGGGAAGGAAAGGCCCTTGAGGAGCTGTGCAGTAGCCCCCACACTTCCTCTGCCGTACTCAGAGCCACAGCTGCGTGCAGCAAACCAGACAGAAATCTCTGCCATCTCCTGGGGAAGCAGGACCCAGGGAAGGGGCAGCCCCAACAGCGTCCACTGGGAACTAGCCGGCCCAAAACGGTGCCGCTGTGGTCTCGCTCCCCTGGGGAAGTGGGAGCTTCTGAGACACCCAAGTGAAAAGTGCCACTGAGCCTGACATCCTAGAGGGCCAGAGGGAGGAGGGTCTGCAGAGGAGGGCGTGGACCCTCGAACCCTCGCTTGCTCTCTTGCTTACTGCTCAGGGCGGCTCTCCCCAGGGAGCCTGTTGGAGGCCCCTTGGACCGTGTTGAGGGCTCTGCGGGTTTCCGAGTTTGCTGCGCAGAGCGGCCTCTTTAGGACTCCCGCACACGCACGGGCCCTGCCTGCTGGAAGCCTCCGGGTTCCCTCCAGCTCTGTGGCTGCTGGGCGTAGAGATCCTATCAGCCCTGCTCCTTTTGGTTCAGTGACTAATTCCCTGGCACCCGCCTCAGATTGGTAAAGAATGTGGACAAGTTAAAATCTGAACAATGTTGTCGTGCGGCTGCCTCCCATTCCTCCTGAGCAGGGAGGCAGCGGCTGTTTGCCCCGCCGGCATGACCATCTGCCTGTTGGGGATGGAGCGGGGAGGACAGACCTGGAACCGTGTGCTGGGCTGTCCTCAATCCTGAGGCCAGGATGGAGGAAGGCTCCCTGCAGCCCTAGGTGGCCCAGGGCTCACCAGGCTCTCAGCCTCCCTGAGCAGGAGGGGAGGGACCTCATGTCTGGACCTCATTCCTGGGCATCCATTGTACCAGGGGGAGCTGCCCTGCCACCCAGCACACGCACCTTTGCCATTCATTCATTCATTCATTCACTTGTCTGCTACTTCCCTCGATCAGCAAACCTCTTGAGTAACCACTCTGTAGTTAGAAACACTCCACAAACGGGGTGCTAATAATAATAATAGCAGTAATCATAGCTGCGAGTCCCTCTCGGCCCCATGGACACTGACTGATGGTCCAGTCCAGTGCCGTCCAGGAGAATGGAACGAGAGCCACATATGTAATTTTGCGTGTTCTAGTAGCCACGTTAAAAAAGGTGAAAAGAAACCGGTGGAAGTAATGTAATAATTTATTTTATTTATCCCAGACTATGCTTGTGTCAGCACATCATCACTATGAAATTGTGAATGAGATGTTTCATTTCACGTTCTTTTCACGGCACTGAGTCTTTGGAATGGGGGAGCCCTGACGCCCACAGCATAGCTCACTTCGCACTGACCACGTCTCACCTGCCCCCGTGGCTGCCGTGTGGGATGGTTCCACGCGTGGGGACGCGTTGATGACCCATAGAGCGCCTGTCCTTGTAGGGCCCGCAGTCCAGTCTGGGAGACAGCAACCACGGGCTCACACGGCGTGCACCCTGGGAGCAGCGCTGCCAGTCTGGGGGGGTGAGAGAGCACTTGGGGGTCCCCCAGCCCAGGCCCCATGTGGAGGGGGTGGCTTGTTCTGTCTCCTTGTCTTCTTGGAGTGGGTGGCAGAGGAGGTGAGGGTTGGGTCCCTCTGTTGTTTTATTTTAAATATGTAGCTTTATTGAGTTATAACTTACATACCATACAACTCACCTACTTAAAGTGTACAATACAGTGGGTTTTTTTTTCTACTATATTCACAGATATATGTACCCATTATCACCGTCAATTTTAGAATATTTCTGTCACCTCAAAAGTAAACCTTGCATCTCTCAGCTCTCAGCCCTCCACCCCAACCTCAGCCCCCGGCAACCACCGGTCCGCGTCTGTCCCTGTGGATTTGCCTTCCCTGGACTTTCATAGAAATGGAACCACACAGTATGGATGCTCTTGCGCCGAACTTCTCTCACTTGGCATGTTCTCGCATTTCCTCCAGGTTGTAGCATGTATCAAGATTTTGTTTCTTTCTCGTGGCGGAGTAATAATATTCCATTGTACGGACACCGCAATTTGTTCATGCACCCGCCCGGCGGGGCGGTGGGTGCTGGGGCCTCCCCGTTTTACACGTGCAGGCACAGCCCCAGGGCATCCGCACTCGGGTGGCAGTTACCATCTGGGGCTGGAGTGCGGAGGAAAGCTTCTGCTTTCCCTCCAGGAGCGCGGGGCTGTGGCATTGGTAAGGACCAGCCACCTGGCGCCTGTCACCTCCCTCTCTCTCAGCCATCGCCTGTGTTGAGCTTCCTCCAGGCTGGGCAGCCTTCAGCAGAGGATTGTTCCTACTGAGAATTGCCCTCCCCAGGCCGGCAGGGGGCCTGGGGGCTCTGAGGACCCTTATCAAGGACACACCAGGAATGTGTGCTCTCCAGTGTGCTGAGCTGGAGGGGGCCCAACCCATCTGATGGAGGAAAAGACTGGGGTGCAGAAAAGAGGCTGAGCACTGGGGTCACCCTGTGGCCCTGGGAGAGACCAAGGAATGTGCTCTTTTGTTTTTCAATTTGGAGGAGGCAGGCTGGTGGAGGGGAGAGTGCGGGGTCTATCTGAAGAAGGGCACAAGGCAAGGGACCCCTGCTCCCACTGCCCCCATGGGGACGCAGGCCCTCTGCCTGCCAGATGGAATTCCCCCCCAGTTCACCGTCCCACCCGTCCTGGGGCTCTCAGGGTCTCTGCCCCTGGGATGGCTGATCTCCTGTGTCGTCTGCTGGGCCCATCACATCACCCTGGGCAAGTCACTCCCCACCCCATGCCTCAGTTTCCTCATCTGTAAGCCGGGGATAATAGCAGTCCAACCTCAGGCCTGTGAAGCAGATTAAATTAGACCTCGGCGCCGTCTTGGCACGGAGAAAGAACCATTTAAGCGTTTGCGGTTAGAGGCTTTTCTGGCCAATGTCAGCTACTGTGTTACCCTCTGAACCCGAACCTACCTCCTACTTGAAGCCTCCAGACTGGGGAAGGGGTCTTCTTGCCGGGCCCTCCAGGTGGGATCTGATCTGCCCTGGATTAGAGGCTTGGGGCCGGCACCCCTTCCCTCCTTCGCTGGGGCCTCCCTTAACTCCGGAAGGGGGCTGATCCATCTCGGGGTCCCAGGACCCCACAGAGGGTGAGGTGACCCAGGGGACACACAACCGTGCAGCTCCGCATTTCTGTTCCTGCGGTGTGTGGCTCTGGGGGAGGGCTGGGCTGCCAGGGCCCTTGGCTTGCGTAGGGGCAGAGTGTGGACCAGGCAGAACTCTGCCAGCAGGAGGGAATTGCGGAGGGTGGGAGGAGGCATTCTGATGCAGATGGCGGCAGTCCTTCTAGAAGAGCCCCTTTGAAAGCAGCTATTTGGCTCAGCCACTAACCTTCAGCCCCCACCCCCACCACACCACCTAGATGGCCAGACCTAGGGGCCGGATCCGTCCCCCAGGGCCTCCTGGAATCCTCTGCACCAGAGCCCAGGGTAAGCCCACCCTGTATGCTGGGGCCGCCCTCTCCCCCAGCTTCATCTCTCCCACTGCTTGGCTCCCTGAGGCCGGGGTCTCCCCACTTTGAGCTGTAATGGGGGGACGGGAGGCGAGGCTGTCCAGGCCCCTGGAGAGTGCAGTCAGAGCCCACAAGAGCGTCCAGGGGCTGGGAGCCGCCTGCCCCCACAGGCAGCTCCCTCCAGGTGTGCTCGGTGGAGCCCCAGAAACCCTGGCACCCGGGAGGCTGATGGAGAGGGGAGAGCCAGGTGAATGTCAGTTTATCCCAACACAAGTAGTGACCTGTCGGGTGGGGGGGCACCGAGGGAATATTTGGGATGACTGAGCCGCTGGCCCTTTAAGGCTCCTGTAACAGGACACCTCCCGGCCGGGCGCTTCCACTCTCCAGCCTGACTGTGTGTTTCCCCCTCCCTCCTCCCCCATCCCGCGCCAGTCCCAGTTCAATTTGCTGAGCAGCACGATGGACCAGATGAGCAGCCGCGCGGCCTCAACCAGCCCCTACACCCCGGAGCACGCCGCCAGTGTGCCCACCCACTCGCCCTACGCGCAGCCCAGCTCCACCTTCGACACCATGTCGCCTGCGCCGGTCATCCCCTCCAACACCGATTACCCTGGCCCCCACCACTTCGACGTCACCTTCCAGCAGTCGAGCACGGCCAAGTCGGCCACCTGGACGGTGAGTTGCACCCCCACTCCCAGCGGACATCTGTGGGGCACAGGGTGTGCAGAGGGTGGTTGGGTCCTGGGCACCGAAGGAGGGCCGAGCGTGCCCGGCTGTCCACACAGGGTTCCCGTCTGGCCAGGGAGGCCAGCCGGGAGGAGTGTCGGGCAGGAGGCGGGTCTTGGGGCTGGGCAGTCTGGGTGTAACCACCCCTCGGACCATGGCCAGAGCCAGCCAGCCTCCCTCGGCCTCAGAGGGGACGGACATGGGCCGCCAGCGAGGCCCGTGGGGCAGAGACAGACCGTCCTCACCAAGTCCGTCTAGACACATCCTTCCGTGCGCGCAGGTGGGGGCTCTGGTTTGAACCCCGTCCTGGGTGGGCAGGAGGCACGTGCTGCCCAGAGCCATCTGAGGCCGCCCTGGGGTCCACGGAGGCGCCTCTTCCAGGTAGTGTGGAGTTGGCAAGGAGTGTCTGGTGGTCGGAGGGTTTGGGCTTTGCTTGCAGGGTATCTGCATTGTCATTTCCAAGCACAGGCGTGAGACGGGAAAGTCGGGGTGGAACCCCAGAGCTGCGGACTTGGGTCTCGCCACGGTGCCCTTGGGAGCATTCTGGCCCCGGTTGGGATTTTGCTAACTTTGATAACATCCCTCGTACCGGCGGCTGCTCCCCGAAAGCTGGACACTGTGCTAAGCACTTTGAGTTTACATTAACTCTTGAAACCACCCAGCAACTCACAAGGTAGAATGTGTTATTGCGCCATTTTACAGCCAAGGAAACTGAGGCACAGGGAGGGAAAGTAGCTTGCTCAGAGCCACACAGATAGATGGGAAGTGGGGGTGCTGGCATGGGAAGCCAGTGGCCAGGCTCCTGCAGCTGTGTTTGTAGCCCCTGGGTTGCACTGTCATACTGCAGCTGGGAGAGGAAGGGGCTGCCAGACGTGCCCGCTGGGGCAGCATGAAGGCTGCAGGGACGCCAAGACCCCCTGACAGACCGCAGGCTCCCCTCCAAGTGTGGGGCAGGGCATTGGGCAGGAAAGGCAGCCCCAAGGGTCCTCCGGGTCTCCTGTTCCCCAGCAGGAGGGGGAGAGTGAGCCCTGCTCTGCACCCACCCCATGGGCACCTGGCAGGTCCCGGCCACAGGGCAGCATCACCTCCTCTGGGGAACGGCAGCTCCCTGCTCACCCCTAGCCCCGGAAATGGGACCCTGGAGCAGAGATGCAGGGTGGCCACATCTCCACCCCACAGGAGCACTGAGCAGATGACCATGAGGCTCTGTTGCTTTAGGAACTGGTCCCACGGTCCCCACTGTCCTGCCGGCCTAGGCTGTGGTTTTCCCACGCTCCTGGGGGCTGGAGGTGGGGCGGAGCCTCAGGTAGCCCGGGTCAGGCTCTCAGAGGCCAGTCAGAGGGAGTCTTCCTTCCAGTCCACAGCCCCCCTGCGGCTGTCTCTGGTTCTTGCTTGGCTGCAGGCTCCTCCAGCTGCTGGCCCGTTGCTGAGTTGAGGCTCAGCCCGACTCCAGGGCTTCCAGTGGCCGAGAAAGGCGCCTGGTCCAGGGCCCCCACCCCTGTCAGTGCCGTTTTCCTCTTCTGTGAATTTTTTCTCCAACGCTCCTTATCGATGGTAGTGATAAGGCTTAAACGACATGACGACCGTGGAGCAGGGGCTTAGCATGGTGGGAGCTGGCGTGTGGTCTTTATTATCGTTTCCTTGGTGGGCAGGGTTGGCGATGGGGTGCCACGGAGCCTACTCCTTCTGGATGCGTTGTTCAGCAGCATCTGTGCCTGCCGGAGGGTTCTCTTGGTTCTCTATTGCCTATGGGGTCCTGGTCTCCCCACCCCAGCTTTGAGGTCCAGCTGGGTGACCAAAAGCCAGGTCAGGAGGCCCCTGTTGGCATCCCCACACTTGCACACCTCTGGCGACAGGAGGCTCACTACCGCTCCTATTCAATGTTCAGACTTGTTTCCTAAGCACTTTCTTTCCCCTCTAAGGGGTGGGTCCCAGTCCCTCCTGCACTGACCTTCTGTCATCAGGGCCTGAGTTTCTGGTCCCCTAGGAGTGCTGGCAGGCACTATGGGGGTCCTGGCATCCTTCCTATCCGTTGTTTGAGGATGCTGCTGGGGTCTCTGCAGTGTCTGGGGGGCTTGGAGCGCCTCAGATGGTCTGAGCTGGTTCTCAGGGAGGGCCGGGAGCTGTCCAGCTGCCAGCTGCCTCCTCCACCTGGGGGCCCTCTGCCACCCTCCAAGTTGCTTCCACCACCGCCTGCCAGGTGTGTGGCCTTAGGGCTGGAGGGGCTCATGGCTTAGTCACAGTTGTCTTGGCCCTAAGTAGTCCCATGGAGTGGTCTGCCCTGGGCAGCCTCTCCCGGGAGCAGGAGAAGGCTCCCCTGTGCCCAGTGGCTCTGCCTCCAAGCTCCAGCTTCCCGTCCCCCCACGCCGGAGCTGCAGATACCGCCCTCCCTGCCTGGGCCCTCCGATGCTCTGGATGCTCCCATGGAGCTGAGCTGAGGAGGAGGGGGCTGTTGACAGCGTCCGGGGTTCCCCCTCCCCAGCCCTTATCTATGCGGGGGGTGGAGGCGGGACAAACATTGATAATGAGATTTTTGGCACCTTGGCTCTCTGGGAGCAGACCCCATGCAGGTTCCTTTCCTTGCCCAGGGAGGGGGAGGACAGACAGTGGCTCAGGTGCAGGAAGCGGACTGCCGGGCGGCTGCCTGCTCACAGCTCTGGGGGTCTGACTGTGCCGGTGCTGCCCAGACTTGCTGTCCAGGCCTCTGCATCATGCTGTGTGCAGCCCCCGCCACACCAGCCAGCTGGTAACTGATAGATAATTTATATTTTTCTCAACTACAATTCCAAATTGACTGCTGCCTTCACTCCTTTGCTCGCTCAGGAAAAACACCCTCACCGGCTCCCAAGTGACCACAGCTGTGAATGGGGTCTTTGGCTTCTGTCTGGCCGAGGCCCCCTGTGGGTCATCCCAGCCCAGGCTGGTTCATGTGCCCTGCCCAGCTTCTGTCAGACCTCACATCTCCCGCCTGTTCTCCTTGGGCTCCAAGCGTCTGGCACCCTCGGCTCACAGGCATGCGTGTGCCTGCACACGTGCATGCACACACACACACACAAAACCACACACACAGGTGAACGCACGTGCATGTGTGTGTGTACACGCGCACAGTGTACATGCATACACACATGTGCATGCACGCACACTCACACACATGCAAAAACACACAGATATGCATGCACACACACACATATGCAAAACAATACACACAGGTGAATACACATATGTGCATGCACGCACACTCACACATATGCAAAACAATACACACAGGTGAATACACCTACGTGCATGCATGCATACTCACACACATGCAAAACCACACACACAGGTGAACACACGTGCATGCACGCACACTCACACACGCTAAACCACACACACAGGTGAACACACGTGCAGACATGCGCACAGTGTACATGCATACACATGCATGCATGCACACACATACGCACAAATGCAGGCCTCTCCTGGTTGCTGCCCAGGGTCTGATGATCCCTCCCCTCCCACAGAAGATGACTGAGCAGCCAGAGAAGGGATTGGGGCTCTTCCTCGAGAGAGCCTGTTTTAAACCAGGGACCAGGGACAGGGCAAGGTGAGAGTTCGCCTGGCGGTGTCGCTGCACAGTGGGCAGGGATAGAGCACCCCACCAATGTTTCCTGCTTGTGAGCGTCCTGGCTGAGGCTTGTCCCTTTCAAGGACAGACTGGGCTTTAGGAAGAGAGAGATGCCATGAAACATCATGGTTTCAGGTGAAGGCCGGCACTCTTGGGCACTGATGCTCTTTGGACCAGTGGGCGGGTGGAACCGGGCCAAGGATGGCAGCACCTGGTGCCTTTGTGCCTGTCCCACGTCCTCCCCAGGACACTGCGGGGGTCGGAGCATGGGCAGGGCCCTCGGCAGGGCCCTCAGTGGCCTGATGGCCACTCCCATCTGGGGCCTCCCACGGGTTGGCAGTGATGGACACACCTGGTGACAGGAGTCCTGAGGAGCAGAGAGGAGGAGTAGCCCGGTGCGAGGGGTGTCTGGACGCTGTCCAGCCTAGCTCAGCCTCCTGCTCCCAGGCTGGGCCTCACCAGGGAAGAGGCTGTCCTTGATGTTCAGGAGGTTTGGGGAGGGGGCTCTGAGGTCAGGGAGGAAGGCTTGGCGTGGCTGGAGCCCTGGCCCAACCTAGGCAGTGGGGGGCTGAGTCGCACTGGCAATAGCCCACAGGGCAGGCAGCCGTGGGGCGTGACAATGAGGGTATGCACGGTGTGATGGCGCAGCTCATCACTAGGGGGGTTCCGGACAGCCTGCCATCCTGGGCACAGCCCCTGAATGACCTCCAGCTGCCCCCAGACCCGGCGGGGGTGTGTGTGTCTGTCCATCTGTCCTGGGGGGGGGGAGCTGGCCCACGTGGTGTGAGCGCTGCCACTCCCACCCCCAAGAGGAGCATGTGGACTGCGCTCTGCGGGATTCCTGGGCAGAATGTGGCTGAGTCAACACTAATGGATTTGGGAGAAAACTTTCCAGCCCCTCGGAGGTTTGCAAGCAGGAAAATAATAGCGGAGGTGTCCCAACACGATCTTGGTATCAATTGCGTTATCCTAAAAGTTTATGGAATGCATAAGTGGAATTAATACCTTTTACTGGCCCCAGAGCAATTATACATATTTAAAGCCAAGGGAAGAGTTCTAACACTGTTTATTGTGCGGATGAAACAGGGATTATTAAGGGGAAACGAGAGCACTCAGGGAGAAATTGCAGCAATCGCTTGCTGTGTGGGAAGCTCTGCGGGGCAGGGACGAGCTTCCTGCAGGCTGGCCCTTGCTGGGGTCGGAGGCCCAGGCTCACGGCCTGAGGTGGGAGTCGCCTCTTCTCCCTCCATCCTCTCGGCAGCTGGGGAGCCCCTGGGCCTGGAGGTCACAGAACTTGTCCTCAGTGATCCTGAGTCGCTGGGTCCTGGCTCATCCAGCCGGG